TGGGGGGGTCTAGGAGTCTGGGGGGATGCAGAAGTTCAGGGGAGGCCCCGCGAATTGGGGGAATGCAGGAATGGGGGGGTCCAGGAGTTCGGAGGGGGGTCCCGTGTTGGGGGGTCCTGGCGGTTGGGGTTCCCCGAGCTGGGGGTCCCGGCAGTTGGGGGTCCTCTGTTGGGGAGTCTCGGGAGTCCGGGGGTCCAGAATTGGGGGGTCCCGGCAGTTCGGGGCTGCCCCGCCCCTTTTTCAGCACCGCGGACAGTTCCCGCCCCCCAAACCGGCCATAGGGACATATAGGGATCTGTAGGGGATCCCCGGGGGCCATAGGAATCCACACGGGGGCCATAGCGATCCATACAGATCCATAGGGGATCCATGGGGCCATAGGGACCTAGACAGGCCCACCAGGCCCTATAGGGATCCATAAGGGTCTATAGGAGCATGATAAGGGATCCATAGGGGCTGGCGGGGCCCAGGGTCTCTGCTATAGGGGATGGGCTCCCCTTTAATCCCCGGCCATAGGGTCCTCCCCCACATCCCCCGGTCTTACGACACCCCTATATCCCCCCTTATGCCTCATCCACCATATCCCCCTGGTCATAGGCCCCCCTCCCCCCCATATCTATAAGGGGCCCTCTATATCTCCCCAATCATAGGACCCCCCCATACTGCCCCCGTTTAGGACCCCTCCCATCAGTCCCCCACTATAGGGCCCCCCTTTATTCCCCCATCCATAGGACCCCCCATAGACCTCCATCCATGGGAGCTCCCCTATACCCCCCATCCATAGATCCCTCCATACCGCCCAGCCACAGACCCCCAGCCATAGACTCCCCCATATCTCCCCATCCATAGGAGCCCCCCTATACCTCCGCATCCATAGACACCCCCAAAAACCCCCATCCACAGACGCTCACTATATCCCCCATCCATAGCCCCCCTCACCTCCCCCATCTGTAAACCCCGCCTATACACCCCCATCCACAGGAGTGCCCCCTATACCCCCCTCTATATCCCCCATCCACAGAGCACCCTATAGCCCTTCATCCATAGGACCCTCTCTATACACCCCATCCATGGGGGTCCCTCCATATCCCCCCATCCACCACTTATATGTCTTTATCCATAGGGGTCCCCCCCATCCATAGGACCCCCCATATCCTCCAATCCATAGGGATCCCCCCTATACCCCTCCATATCCATAGGGCCCCCTCTATGTCTCTCCATCCACAGGGGTCTCCCCCATCCATAGGAACCCCCCACACCGCCCCCCATCCATAGGACCCCCCCATCCCCCCCACTCACCCTCGGCCGCCGGAGCCGCGCCCGCCGCAGTCCTTGGGGGTGGGGCCTACACAGACCACGCCCCCTCGAAAGCCGTGCCCACTATCCCACCCCAGCCACTCCCCCCGTCTGGCCCCAGAGCAGGCGTGGCCTATATCTGGACACGCCCCCACAGCGCGAGGGGGCGGGGGAAGGGGTGGGACCCGCCCCGTCGTCAAAGCCGCGCCCATTGCACACCCCCCACCACGTCAGTCGGAGGGGGCGGAGCCTGAGTAGGGACACGTCCCCTCTAAGTCCCGCCCCTTTACATCGATCAGGGTGGAGCTGTGTTTAGCCACGCCCCCACCCCCGCCCACTCCCTATAGGAACTGGATGGACGCTCCTATTGGCTGCCCGCGGGCACAGGGGTTCTGGCTACGCCCCTTTATATGGACTGACACCCCTGGTCCTAAAGACACCCCCAGACCCCCCCCCAGAGATTCCCCTAAAAACAACCCCCCGTAGACATCCCCCATAGAGATCCCCAAAGACACCTCCCAGACAGCCCAAGCCCCCTACAGAGACCCCTATAGACATCCCCTATAAACCCCCCTGCCCCTTTAGACACCCCCTATAGACCTCCCCAGCCCCTATACAGACCCCTAGAGACATCCCCTATAGACACCCCCTATAGACCCCCAAACCCCCTACAGACCCTCCCACTTTAAACACCCCTAAATCCCCTAAAGGACCCCCAAATTCCCCATAGACCCCCC